TTTTCTTTATTTAAAATGATACAATATAGGTAAAAAAAAACGTATGCATATGTGAATTTAAAAAATAAATAGTAATAAAATGTATCATTTTTTAGAAATCTTTCTCTTTACATAAAAAATTAATTTTTTGTTTATTTTATCTGAGATAATTTTGCCGCCCCTTAAAACCGGCCCTGCGTATGCTTCAACAAATTTTAGATTCTGAGCGGAGCGATGAATGTATTGGTTTTACAATGATGTATGTTTTTATATTTTTATTTATATTTTTATTTATATTTTTGTGTCTGTCATCACGTTTTGGGACAGTAAAAGTGCTTCGATTTTCTTCAATAGTACCTTTTCTGATAGGAAAGTGAATCTAGTTGGTACTTTGGGGGGTCAAAAGTAAACATTTTCCAGTAGTTTTCACAAGCGCCGGGAAAAACAACATAAAAATTAAGGAAAAACGGGAATTTTTACGCAAAATCGATTTTCCAAAATATCGAATTTGGTTTTTGGTGTAACTTTAAAACAAATGACCGTAGATACATGAAATTTTCACTGGTTGTTTATATTTGCATTTTCTATACACGATAACATTTTCAAAATATTTTGATTTATTTTGAACTGTTTAGGGACATTTTCATTTTTCATTTTATTTTAGTTTTTTTTTTAGAAATATCAATAAAATTTTATTTGTTGGTTGCGAAAGCTTGAAAATTTAATACAAGGCTCCTAACATGTTATTTCAAAGGCAGATGAAAAATATTAAAAATCCTTAGTCACAATTTTTTTTTATAAGCATTTAAAGTTCAAAAATTTACAAAATATGGAAAAATCACTAAAATTAGCAAATTATTTTGAGTTAGAAATTCGTAAAAATTTTTCTTTTTAAATCTAAGATTTGAAAATGTAATACAAGATTCCTTATAAGATTATCTACCCTTATCAAAAAAAAAATGTATATAAGAAAGTCAAATTAAATTTTTAAGAGCGTTTGAAATTCAAAATTTTACAACATTGAATATTCACTCGATTTCTCATGTAGCGATTTCCTTATTTTGTTGTAATTCAAAAACGAATAACTTTAGATACATGAAAATTTCACTGAATATTTATATTAGCATTTCCTATACACCATACAATTTTGAAAATATTTTTACTCTTTTTGAGCTGTTTATGGACATTTACATCTTTCAATTTTTTTTAGTTTTTTTTCTATAAATATCAATAAAATTTTATCTATTGGGCCAAAAAGTGTAAAAAATTAATACAAGTCTCCTGATATATTGTTACGATATCAGTTGAAAAATATTAAAAATACATAGGCACAGTTTTTTTTTATAAGCATTTAAAGATCGAATTTTGACAAAATGTATCAAAATCTCGAAAATTATAAATCATTGTAATTAATAAATTATAAAATGTTCAGTTTTTATAGCTAAGGATTGCAAATTTAAAACAAAGGTTCTCATAAATAGTTCATACTGTAACCAAAAAATCTAAAAAATATATAAACACACTTATTTTTTACAGACATTTTAATTTCAAATTTGGACGAAATTACATATTAAAAAACCTAGAATAACTATTTTAGTTATTTTGTTGTGATTGAATAATATTATTCGTGGGTACTTGAAACTTCTAAAGTGTACTATTATATATCTATGATAGTATCACGGTTTTTGTTGATGTATAACGCGTTATAAGTATCTTATGGATATTGTGATATGATTAATTTGGAATTTATTATAGGTACCTATTATAGGTCAATTTTTTGTTTAATACCATAGATATGTATATAATATGCCTTATACATAGACTGACATACCATCACCGCTCAGAATCGTTTTTCTTATACAATGATATTATATCATTGAATTCAAATTTAATACCATCCATTATACAGTGACCCACTTGTAACCTACTGTACAGCAGAGCGACACCCACTTGCCCACCTTTTTGGCTATGATTCCTATACACATATAATAATATTAAAACAATTACCCACATAATAATAATAATAAATTAATACTATTCATACATTATAAATACTGAAAAATAATTCATAATGAAATATTTTATTTATTTTATTATTGTGCCTATACACCTTTAATATACAAATTATTTCAATTTTTAATTTACTCATAGCTAATACGATATACCAAAATATAAAAATGTGAAATGTGAAATATAAGTTTTGGTAGTATTTATTTAATTTTAATTTGAAAGCGTTGTTGTAAAAAACTCAAAATTTCAATTAAATTCTAATTCATGCCATAATAATATTATAAAATTAAAATTAATTAATTAAACTCACTGTAGGTACTTTTTAAATAATGTACCTGGACTTTTGGTTGTTATCTTTTTGTGAAGCTCTCGTATATAATTGCCACCTGTATTAAATGATACTATAGCAGTACAGCAGTATATATTCTAGTGGTGTACGACTGTTTTTGAGAAAAATTAATTCGTTTACCGCCTATGTGCTTATTAATGACACTATTAAACTGTTCGCAGATGTTGTTATCAACATCAAGTAATAAACTTTTTGCATTATCAGCAACACGTCTAAGTGCAGTTGTAATTTCTTTCATCAAACCACTTTGCATTACTTCGTCGATCAAATTCAGTTCGTATAACTTTCTTCCAGTGCAAAAATATCGGGCACAATTAAAGTGTTTGCCAAATATATGGTATGGACTATTTAAAATATCCTTTCGCAAATTATATTCAATTTATAATATGTACCACTTTACCTGGTTGTGGCTTAGATTGTCTACATTGAATGATTTCTGTTAATTGTTATAAATGGTTTTTTGAGTACCTACCTATTTCTTTTTTTTATCATACCCAAATTGTTCGATAATTCAAGTAATACGGCCTATTTAAATAGTTTACAGCAAAACTACCTATTATAAAAGTTTTAGAGAAGAATTTTTTCAACAATTGAAATAAGCTCGATTTTTTATATTTTTATTAATAAGTTAAATAATTAATCGATAAAAAGTAAAAAAAAAAAATGTTAATTTACCATGCGATATTGGACGATTGGAATACGATATCAAAAATCGGATTTATTACGATTGTTAAAAAAATTCTCCTCTACCACTTTTATAATAGGTATTTTTACTGTAAACCTCTTCAATAAGCCGTATTAATTGAAGAACAAAAGTAGTTTTTATTTGTATAAAATTCGGATAAGAAGAGTTTGGCCTAGTGAACAAAATATGGTTTCGTAATTCAAGTAATACGGCTTATTGAAGCAGTTAACAGTAAAAATACCTATTATAAAAGTTGGAGAGAAGAATTTTTTTAATAATCGAAATAAGCCCGATTTTTTATATTTTTATTAATGAGTTAAATAATTAATCGATAAAAAGTAAAAAAAAAAAAAATTGTTAATTTATCATGCGATATTGGACGATTGGAATACGATATCAAAAATCGGATTCCTTACGATTGTTAAAAAAATTCTCCTCTACAATTTTTATAATAGGTATTTTTATTGCAAACCGCTTCAATAAGCCGTATTACACTATTACCTACTTGAAGAACAAAAGTATAGTTTGTATAAAATTCGGATACGAATACAAAATATAAAATCGAACCAAATTAAATATTATTTGTCACAATTAATATAATAATCATTTTCTTATCTGGTTATTTATAAACTATGCACGGGCGGTCGGCTGCGATAGAGAACCTGTTTTGACCCTGGTGCGGTACCGCCGTTAATGCGCGCGGGGTGGTGGTATGCACAGCTAGTATCGAACGCTGCCACTGACTACGGGCGCAGCACTTGCCGAGCGTAATTTTCTGCAGTTTTCTTATAAAACATACTTTGCGCGTTCCAATAATATGGGTTACTGAGTGGCTTAATCGTAAAAACACCTATGAACAAAATTAAAGATAATAATATTTTCAAGGGCCCCACGTAGGTTTTTTTCTTTGTTCCAAATATTAAGCTCAGTACATCGTTTAAAAATAATGATTTTTTCAACATGTTAAAATGACAGTAACTTTTCAAAAAATTAATTTTTTGAAAAAAGGCTACGTGGGGCCCTCGAAAATATTATTATCTTTAATTTTGTTAATAGGTGTTTATGTCCTAAAACCACTCTGGAGTGCAAAATTTGGAATCTAAGCGAGCATGTTTTTGGTATTGAAAACGCCGGTACTACGTCCTCTTAATGAGCGAGTCCACTGCTAGCCAGACGTGTCCCGCCCACTCCAACCTTTTTTTAACAATAAGAAATGTCGTAGACTCTGCTTGTTGTACAGCTGCCCTAAGTCTTTTAGTTTCATCTTCTTTGGAAACTATTTGGGTCATTATTGACTATTGTATATACTGGTCCATATATTTTCCTCTCGAAACATTGCAGTCTCTATTCATCTCTCTGAGTACTAGACCACGTGTCACATGGGTACGTCACTAGTACCGATATAACCATTTAATTACCTATATGTATAATCGATTAATTGTTATAACCGTGAATGCCTACTCCCGAGTCCCGACCGACGGTTCATCGGAGATAAGTGCACTTGCGTATACGATATGTACAGAGTGATTCACCGACCGTCATACGAACACCTCCCGTTTTTACCCATTATTATAACGATGAAATCATACAAATTCTGGTTTTTGACATTTTTAAACACACTCAAAGTTCATTTTTTTGTTAGTACCTACATAAGGAGTGAGCCATGTAGACTCCTCAAACTTGTGTTTTTCAAATGAGGACCCCTCTCTTAAAATGTAATTTATTTGCCAGATCGTTTTTCTGAACATATTTTGGACGTACCAGAATATCGATATTAAATAACAAAATATTTTAATAAATAGTTTTGCTTTTCTGGCTCGAACCAGTTAACATGAAAACGTATAAAGTCAAGCCTTAAACAGTTTATTGAAAAAACGTTATCATTTGTTATTTTGCAAGCTTATCGTATAGTCGTTTTGTAAATTATATTGTATATTTCTATACATATTTCTATATTAGTCTGTATATTTTGTAAAAATGTTGTACTTTGTTAACGTGTTAACAGTCCAGTTGTTCCTGATCGTGGTATTAGCAAGCATACGCAAACTGATGGACTTGATTCGCAAGCTACACAAAAAATGGATTGAACTGGACGATGACCCCAGATTCAATCTGGACTTCGGGTGTCAGCATCTATTGAAGGACACGCCGGTTGGTCAAGCTAATCATACACACGGCACGGACAAATTCACTCAAAAGGATCATCCGGCACCTCGTTTCCGTCGCCGTAGCAGCTCTCGGAAAGGTACATGGGCACGGCCTTCTTTCCGTCAGGAAAAGGTTGCTGTAGATCGAAGCGACTTTTCGTCGCCGCCGGTGCTAAACAAGGGCCCGGACGTGGGCTTTAATTTAAGGCTTGACTTTATACTTTGTCATGTTTACTAGTTCGAGGCAGAAAACCAAAACTATTTATTAATTATTAATTAAATGTTTGACGCAATAGAAATTAGAATTATTAAGTGAAAGTATTTTTTTACAAGTGAGTAGTGACAACAATTCGATTTTAATTATTACAATTTACAATATATATTTTTATAACAGTGTTTAGTTTTGGTTTTCTGTTAAACATTTAATTTTTTTCATTAAAATATATTGTTATAATTAAAAATATATAATTGTTGTTACTTGCCAAAAAATACATTCACTTAATAATTCAATTCAATTAAACATTTCATTTTCTTCATTAAATATATTATTGTAGAACAGAAACGAAACAGCGTGTTGTTATTTATAGCTGATAACCCGATTTGTCAAACTGAATAAACCGACTTTTTATAAACAAATTATAGATTTTCATAATATGTTAAAATACATTTTTTAATTCTGTTTAAATAAATAAGTAGATTCTGATCACAGTAAACAATTTTTCAAGATTTTCGACATTTTCCAGGGGGGCATGTCCCTCCCTTGCCCCCCATATAGGCGCCCTTGGGCAGTGATAATAGATTATAAACACTCTGCACTTCTATAGACATTTTTGGAAGAACTCATTATTTATAGGTAGCTTATGATGGTTAGGGTGGCATGGCCCCGAGCCCCCTCCTCCTAAGAGGGGTCCTATATACTCAAAAACGATTCACATATCTGTACATGGTCTCCATAGGACTTCTGAAGAGGTACGTGGACAATAATTTAATTACAAGAATAAAAAACAGAGGAAGTCGACTTTGCTATATACAGTAGGTTTTGAATACACAGGTCCACCGAAGCACAGTGGTATGAAACACGAATTTAGAGTGCCAAAAGTACCATTTTTTAAACGAAAAAATTATTGTTTTTTTTTTTATCAATAATTTATTGTTACAATATTCTGAAGCTTAAACCAGAATATCAAATGAATTAATTAACATACACCTGACTTACAGCTGTTTGTATAAAATAAAATATACTTAATTTGATTGATATTTTTAAACTTTTATACATTTTTATATTATTTTTCACACTTCAACAATAAAAATAGAATTTTTTTACAGAGTAATTACATTGTATACCTACACGTAACAACAACTATTATTTTTTTATTTTTATTTATTTTTTTTTTGTTCGTAATTGCTATATTATGACATTATGTTAATTATATATATATATATATATATTATAAGTGTCTTAGTGATTTTTGAACTTTTAAGGAGTGATACTTAAATTTACGCAGTTTTACCAACAATTGAATACATACATATTGAAAAGAAAATTGATAGCTGTTTGAAAATATAAACATTTTTTTGCTTTCAGTTTCAACAGTAATTTACAAAAATGGTTTTCTTTATAAACAGGACGTAGATATTACTGTAAAAACCACCATTAAAAGGTTTTTTAATCTATAAAAAAAAACTAACTTCTAATACCTACTCTAACTCAAGTTAATATTTTAACCAAACTAACTTCTAACTAACTAAATTCGAAATTTGGACAGTTCTAGAAACTAACTTATATTCTAACTTGGTTAGTTTTTCTTTTTATTAAAGTAACTTAACTTCAACTAGTCGAAAAAAAATGACTAACTTGCCCAGCTTTGGTTAAATCATACACTTACGTACCAACAGCACGGGGTCCCCGATCTACAGCAGGTAAGCCCCCTACACACAATATGATTTGGTCGGGCCGACAGGATAATTTGGTCAGGTCGGACGTCGTATCAGTTCGTGTGTAGACCAGGGCCGTATTTAAAGGGGGGCAACGGGGACATTTTTCCCGGGAGGATAATTGTTGACACATTTAGAGGGGCGGCCAGGCGCCGGTGTATAATGTATCTAACATTTTTTTTTGGTAAGAATTTGTTTGAGTACCTCTATACGGCTATATTTATACTTTTTGTATTGCACCCCTATAATAAGGCCATTACTCATTTTGTCAATCAATGATAACTAGGTATTAATTTTTTTATATAGATTTCAATTGTATGTTGTTATACGTTTTGACAATAATTAAAATAATGTATCATCGTGATTTGTGTTTTTAACAACATTTTCATAAATAAAGAACTACAACTAAACAATTAAAAAACGGATAATTTTTATTTTTATTTTTTGGTGGGGGGGGGGGGCGTACAAATATTGTTAACCCAGGGCGCAAAAAGTGTAAACACGGCCCTGGTGTAGACGTGTCATCTGACTGATCCCATCGGGTCTTGTCAGGTGGCCGTTCCATCTGACTGTCCGACCGCCCGACCAAATCATATAGTGTATAACATTGTCGGGCGGATTTAGACTATAGTGGAATTAAAATTCATCTGACCAAGTCGTGCAGAGGTCGTGTGTCGTCTGTGCACAACACCTGACTTGGTCAGGCTATCTGTTGCCCCGACCAGATCATATTGTGTGTAGGGAGCTGTAGATTGCATACTTACCTGATAATATTATACTGCTGCTAATCCGAATTTTCATTCCGGGCAACGGAAAAGTTAAGATACATTTTGAACACCATACTCCGAGTATTAAATAACGAATTGAACAAAGTTTGAGTACTTATGTTGAGTTGGTACATTTAACGGGCAACGAAGTGCAGTGCACGGGATCAGCTAGTTTAATATTATAAACTAGAGGTGGGTCGAACTCAAAAATATGGTCTCGAACCGAACTCGAACCGAACCTTGGTATTTCGAACCGAACTTTTTAATCGTTTATCGAACCGAACTCAAACCGAACCTTAGTATATCGAACCGAACTCAAACCGAACCTTAGTATATCGAACCGAACTCGAACCGAACTTTTTGGTGTGAAGTCGAACTCGAACCGAGCATTTTATTCAACATCAAACCACATCGGTACCATATATTTCATTACTAAACTGAACCCAAAATAAACTTTTGAATTAAATGGCAAATGAAAGCTTTATAGTTTTTACTTTATACTTTAAAGCCACAGTGTGGGGAAATATCTAGATCAGTAGTATAGATTTGTATGTTCACAGTCTTTTTTTTGTGTTACCACGGTAATTTCACAACGTTCAAGTGAGGATGTCCCCCTTGGACACAATAATTTTACCGTGTAAAAATTATGAAGAGTTTACACACTTTTTACACGGTAATTTCACACCGTTCAAGGGAAGATGTTCCCCTTGGACACAATAATTTTACCGTGTAAAAATTATGAAGAGTTTGCACACTCAAAGTCAGTTTTGTCCAAATATTTACAGTGTACACGCTAAATGGTTTTTTTTCTCAACAAACCTTATTACTAAAATGAAATAATTAATTTACAATAATAAAAAATCTATTATTTCATAACTTGTGTTCTGTATTTAAAATAATTATTTCATTTTAGTAATAAGGTTTGTTGAGAAAAAAAACCATTTAGCGTGTACACTGTAAATATTTGGGCAAAACTGACTTTGAGTGTGCAAACTCTTCATAATTTTTACACGGTAAAATTATTGTGTCCAAGGGGGACATTCTCCCTTGAACGTTGTGAAATTACCGTGGTAACACAAAAAAAAGACTGTGAACATACAAATCTATACTACTTAGATCAGTAGATAATAATTATTTATCTTTTATTTTATGTAGATAATTTTCAGCTCGATTATATTTATCTTCATCCTGATCAAATTCTATTTATCTATGTATGTAGTATGTACTATGTACCTATTTATATAATTTATTTTAATGGACAAAAAAAAAATGTTGAAAATTAATAATATTATTCATAATATTTTTTATTTAATATTTACTATTTAGTAATAAGTAACCAGTAACCAATAACACTGATAACTATTATTTGGAATTAACGATTAATGAGTAAGTAGTAGGAGTGTAGGACTCAGGAGTCAGGACCAATGTTATAAAAATATAAAATGTCAAATAATAATGATAAAGATATTTAATTTTTTTGAATAACTATATTTAATATTGATATTGGCCTTTAATATTGTTCAGCATGTTACGAACTTCGATTATTTAAATTATAAATTATAAATAGTTCAAAACTACAATACCAAAATAATTATCCAAGTCTATAAATAATTCAGTAGCACAAGAAATAAATAATAATCAATGCCCGTACAATATAGTGGTTTTAATTTTAATAATTTTACATTTGTAATATTTAAAATTTAAATACATGGTACATAATATAGAATATTGTATATTATACTATATAACAATAACTTTATAGATTATAGACAATAGGAGAACTAAAAATAAAACAAACACCACAATAAACATCGGGAACATTTTTAGTTCGAAACGTTTGACATATTAGAATTTTTTGCTGTTCGAACTATTTTAATTTTCGAACTATTTTGATTTTCGAACTTTTTTGTTCGAGTTCGGTTCGGTTCGGATTTTTTAAGACTTGGTTCGACTTTCGATCTCGAACCGAACACCTAAAGTTCGGTTCGATTTTTCGAACTTCGAACAGTTCGACCCACCTCTATTATAAACGAAATCGGTTAAGAAGGGTTATCTAGCGCGCTCTATTGGACTTCTTACGCAGTTTTCGTTGATAACAACCACAGAATAATATAATAACATAAATATAATAATATGTCTATGACAACAACATTTTCGTGATAAAACCGCCGCGTTGTGACGTGAATTTTGAATATGTGGACTTCTTAGTTGATATTTTTATATTTTAAACACATCATTCAATTATTGAAGTTTTTAAATCATAAGATTACAACTGGAATGGCGTCGATCACTGTCAGTAGATTATTAAGCGGAACGATCAAACGGGTCTGCAACAGGTAAATATTCACGCCTCGTACGCTCACATATTATTATTAAATATTAATAATAATAAGATTGTGTGTGTGTGTGTATGGTTAGAAGCGATTAGTAATCGAGTTTTTGAATTCCTAACGATGAATAGAAGTACGATTTGTCTGTTCGATGTCGACGGTACAGTCACGGAACCTAGACAGGTATGATATCCCTGAATTATGCCTTACCTTTCGGTGATGGTTGTAGTTTCTTAACGTTTCAAACTTTTTGTAGCCAATAGATCCATCTGTGAGGTCGTTCATGGTCGACGAGCTCAAGAAAAAAACACTCATTGGGTTGGTGAGTGGTTCAGATATATCAAAGATAGAAGAACAGCTCGGAGGTTCAGAATGTAAGACTACAAATGTCTAGTTGCTATTCCATTTTTGAAACGTAATTTTACAAAGTTAACTTGTCTTTTATCTGTTTAGACACAGCCCAATTTGACTATGTATTCGCAGAAAACGGCCTAGTTGCATTCAAGAATGGCGAAGAGTTAAAAAAGCAAGTATGTTAACTTATTATGACACGTTACAACCTTTTAAATAAATGTATTCATATTTTAAATACTTTTGCGCTGGTCTATATATTATAATTTAATTTAACCATTAGAAAATAATTAAAGATTTGAAATAGGTAGGTAAAAATGGATTAAACTACATACAATGGTTATTACTTATTTGATACACAATAACTAATTGGATAATTGTTATAATTATGTTTGTGAATTGTATTATTTGTGATTCCAAACGGCAAGCCAATGGTAATCTGTATAGAGACTATGTGGTAGGCATTGATAGCAACTAGTGGAAATTATAAATTACTACACATATTGAACATAATTTGTAAAACCTAATACAATTTAGATTTGAAATTTTTTTTTTTAAGTAAGAACAATCAATTACCAAAATACTTCTATTAAGTTTTAGTACTATAGTACTAAAAAAAAATGTGTAGGTACTTAAATACAATATTAAATGTAGTTTTTTTGTGTAATAATATTCAAAGGTATGTTTTTATTTAATAGACAATTGTTGAATATTTGGGCGAAGAAAAACTGCAGACATTCATTAACTTTGCACTGGGCTACATGTCAAAAATACAATTGCCAGTGAAACGTGGAAATTTTGTAGAATTTAGAACTGGCATGATCAATATCAGTCCTGTTGGTCGGTCATGCTCAAAAATTGAACGTGACAATTTTGAAGAGTATGATAAAGTTCATAATATTAGAAAGAAATTCATTGAAAGCATCAAAGAAAACTTACCAGATATTGGTTTAACTTACAGTATCGGTTAGTACTTAATTCAATTATATTGATGTATTTATATTATGTTTTGTAACATAATTATTATTGTTTAGGTGGCCAAATAAGTTTTGACTGTTTTCCTATAGGATGGGATAAAAGATTTTGCCTACGCTATGTTGAGGATGAGTTTAAAGAAAACATACATTTTTTCGGGGATAAGACCTTTGTCGGAGGAAACGATCACGAAATATTCAATGACTCGAGAGTTATTGGACATACAGTTATAAATCCAAAAGACACCATTTCGCAATTAAACAATCTGTTTAATAAATAATAATAAAATTTAAAGCATTAGAAATAATTTATATGTACACTTTAACTCTTATATAGGAGCAAATAAAAATAAATAAATAAAACAAAAATTATCACAACTGCAATACAAAACATAAGTCAATAGTAAATTTTATACAAATTTAACAAGTTGATTGTTGAATTCATTCATAAATATAGATAGTTGGGAAAATGTTGGCCTTTCATTAGGGGCTAATGCCCAGCAGCATGCCATCACAGTGAACAGTTCATCGGGACAGTTGACTGGCTGAGTTAGTCTAAAACCGTCTTGAAGGTAAGCCGACATTTCAAACGGATCAATGTCGGAATATGGTTGCTGGCATAAAGTCAAGAGTTCCCAGAGTAGAACCCCAAACGACCAAATATCTGAGGCAGTGCTAAATTTCTTGTGTTCTAAACTTTCGACAGCCATCCATTTTATCGGCCTGTTCTTGTTATCTCCTAGACAATGGTAGTCACTGGGAAATAGATCCCTCGACAGAGCATTATCGGCTATCTGAATTTTTAATTCTTGGTTGACAAGACAATTCCTTGCCGCGACATCTTTGTGTAGATGCCTGTTTTTATGTAAATATTGCATACCGGTTATTATTTGTAGTGTCATGTCGATTATTTCTCTAGTTGTCAATGTGTATGAAATGCTTTCAGACGTCTTACAGTTTTGTAAAAATTTCTTTAAATTTGTATTATTATTGTACGCATACAGAAGAAAAGGTTCTACGTGTTGTTCAACAGACACTGCTTGAATTGTTAATATGTTTTTATGATTAAGTCCGTACATACTCAGTCCTTCATGTAATAGCACAGATATTTGTACAGCACTTGCTTGATCGGTTACAGTCTTGACAAACACGTCTTCATCTTTTCCATTGACATCTGTGTACAGACCTTTGTAAACTCGTCCAAAAGTACCTTCCAGTTCAATGCTCTGTAATCTAACTCGTTGCCTCTGTACACTTAGCTCTACAATGCATTCGTGTAAATCTTTCACCTTGGTTTTCGACCCCGGCAATGATTTTTGGTTGAACTTGTTGCTTGAATTTAGTGCAGATTTTAGAAACATGTTTACTTCATTGTTCTGAAAACCTTTAATTATCATGAGATCTCGTGCTTTATCACGGTGATAAGTGGTGGCCAAACAACAAATTATGGCTAGTGCTACTAATGAGGACGCAGCAGATATCATATGGTAGAAAAATGATGGTTCGTAGTAAGGTGGAACGGAAGAATTTGTTTCAGGAACAATCGTTGTTTCGTTGGGATGTTGATCTATGCAAAATTTTTTGAACACAAGATTGACATCGGTGACATCATTTGGCCAATTCTCTGACATTTGAATTGACAGACTAACTTCGGCATTGCCAGACTTCACTGCGCAAGGCAATGACACGGAGAATACGGACGGCATGTCAGGCACGGTACCCTCTTGAGCCATATTGAGTTTTGGTACCACAATATCCTTGTCGGCCTGTACAGACATTTTGTACAACAGGGTACTCTTGGAGCTCCACGTCAAGTTCAAAGTGTTGACAAACGACGGTACTTCCAAGGCGTATTGCACGGCGTTGACGTTGAGCTGGCCGCCTCGCACGTAGTACAGTCGAGCAGCCAAGCCCATCAATGGTTCCACGTCGTTGGCATCGAAATACAAATCAAATTGTTTGCAATTGACGATGGTCAGCAACAGTGGCAGTATCAATAGATGTTCCATATTATTAGATTCGTTTATTGAGCGGTCAAGGAGACCATAAAAGTGTAGTAGACATTAGGAACTATCGTGAACTGTAATTTACCTCGTCTGGGCGTAACGAGTACGTCGCGGAGACGTGTGAGCGGTCCCATCGCGGTTTTTCACGTTACAAAAATCAATAACAAAACCATAATATTTTTAGAAATAATAAAAAAAAAAAAGATACTAATTAAAATGCAGTTACGAGTGTTACGATTATCGCAAACGACCGAAGTTAGTGCATTCAGTGTAAACAAAAACAAATTACTGTCAAACATTTGATAGCATTGGCACAGTCTGTCCACATTCCACAAAAACTTGTTCTGACAGTGTGCAACCATAGAATAGATAAAATTATTTAAATTGGTACAACTGGTCCAAGCATAGATAATTTCTGTGATAATATTCAAGGTGTATATTTTGTATGAAGACCACGGCTATAGATAATATATCTAGTGATGAAGACTATCAGCAGCTCTAGTCTTCATGGTGTATTGCATAGATAATATCATAGAACAGTAATAATATGGTGTATTGTCTATTAACTATTTGTAGGTATTTGTTCTTACATTTTTTATTTTTTATATTATTTAATTATTAAAATTAACCTAACCTATAGTATTTGGTTTAACTGCGAGGACGCCTTTCATACATTTGTCATTTATATTTAATATTTATTATTCTTGCCTTACCTATTATATTATAATATACATTACTGTTGCCTGTACAAAACTATTTTACGTTATTTGAAACAATTAAATCCCAGGTCACTTTGATTCGTTCTCCAACGAATCGCGAGTTGTGGTCCGGTAACCGCAAATATAAGTAGGTAGCACCGTGACTCTGCTTCAACACAAGCCCTGAAGTCAATATACATTTTACAATGCAGAATCTACAGCCAATGCCAGTACCCAGTGTATGTGATCCAGCAAAATACATTTATAAAAATTAGTAAAAATTATGCTGCAATGTTTGAAGTCTTACAATCCTTGCGAGAGTAAGTAGTAAGCGATTTTAACTGCTAGATAAATATTGTAACAAATATTTGTTTTTAGCGATGAAGTTTTTTGTGATGCTAAACTAGAAACAGAAGACGGTGTAGTTGTAATTGCCCATAAAGTGGTTCTAGCAACGGCTAGTCAGTATTTTCATTCAATGTTTACACATTTTAAAGAAAAAAATCAAGATCTTCTTGTTATAAGAGAGTTAAATTCAACTGCCTTACAGCTTTTAGTAAACTTTATTTACTCTGGAGAAATTGTAGTCACTGAAAATAATGTACAGGTAATAATAGATAAAGTTTTATATTCTTATAGATAATAACATTTAATTTGTTCAATGTTTATTCCTCAAGGATTTATTACCAGCGGCAAATCTCTTACAATTACAAGAAATAAAAAAGACATGCTGTGATTTTTTACACAAACGACTGCTTCCTACAAATTGTCTAGGAATAAATGCGTTAACTGATTTGCATAGCTGTCCAATATTGTTAAAAACTTCAGAATTGTATATTCAACGACACTTTCCGTATGAAAAATTATTTATTATTATGATTCTATAAGGAAATTTTATTAATTGTTACTGTAATGTTCTGGTTCTTAGAGAAGTGGTCGAAAGTGATGAATTCCTATCCTTATCATCTGAACGAGTCATTAAGTTTATCTCCAGTGATTTACTGACAGTTCCATCTGAGGAAAAGGTATGCAAACTAAAATTATTAGTTGTTATATTATTTTAGTATTAAGAAAAGACAATTAAGTTACTTATCTATATATATACATATATATAATATATATATATATATATATTGTAGGTAATATAATTAATTTACAAGTATATTTATAGATATTTGAATGTGTCATGTGATGGGTACGACATGAATTGGATTTTAGAAAGTGTATTTTACCCCAACTATTAGGACATGTACGTTTACCATTAATATCAAAAAATTACATATATAAAAAAGTAGTCGAGGAAGCTCTTATTAATAATTGTCTTAAATGTAAGTTTTTTCATTTTGTTTGTTTCTATTGTGAATAAAATCATATTTGATATATTATCTATACTTTTTTAAGGTGAACATTACGTATTTGAGGCATTACATTTCCATTCACTAAAGTAGATGACCTTATCACCGTACGTCCGTACCACAAACTTTGCGGATTACACCTAGACGGACTGGTTTACATGAAGTATAATTTAGTTAAAATGTATTCCTCGTTTCATTTTTTTTTATTCATTTTTTTATCACAGGTTATTTTTGTCATTGGCGGTAAAGATTTTCAACCACATATGAGTACAAAATATTAACCGATGGCAGTTTGGACCATTTGTGGTCATGGATGTACCCCTTTTTGGTGCTAGACTAGCTGTAGTAAAAAAAAAATTTCTTTGCTATGGGTGGTTATGATGCCAGATCATATATATCACTCAAATATGGTGTATGATATCTGATATGTCTATTAGAAGAGGTTATGTTGGGGTTGGAGTGCTAAATAATCTTTTATATGCGGTAAACTAATATTTTTTTTTATGATTTTAAATGTCTAATAATACATTTGTTATAATTGTGATCAGAATAAAAAAAAATCACCCTGGAATTAGAGAATATATCCCCAAAATTAAAAAAATATTAAAATTTTAAATTGAAAAATAAATAATTTACCAATACAAATAATTATTCAACTCAATGCAATAATTTAATAATTAATTCATAAGCTGATTTTTTTATCATTGAACCACTAAACTCCTATGTATGAATAACAAAACTCTATTCCATCTTTTCACAGATTATACATAACATAAAAAAATGCATAATGCAAGGAAAATTATTAATCTTATTAATGTTATTACTTATTAATATTTGTAATATTTGTAATCAAAACTCAAAATTATATTATTTAATACATTTTATCATATTTGTATTGATAATATTAGTAAATATTAAGGTATCAACCAATATAATGTGTTATTAATTATGAACATATTTCAAGTTTCTTATTTTTTGTTATTATACCCATCCACCCCTTATTTTCAAGGTGTAGCGACCGCTACACTTAGAAATAGGGTTGGGCGCCACTGACGACGAGACTTCGGTCGACGGCGTCGCGAGTTGGCCTACACTCGAGACCATAATCGGCTGGCGGATCCGGCAGCGTCGGACGGCGACGACGGTTGCTGCGCGAAGACCACGACTCGTAACGGTGGTGGAGGCGACTGGCGACTGCCAAACACGACGGGCGAGCAACGGAGTCATATTATATTTGTGCTAGTGCCTAGGAACACGGACGTCAGCAGGAAACCGTTGCAAGGTATGCTGCACGAAAACCGAGGAGAGTATCAGGACCATAGATAATATAAGAATGGATAGGACATAAGAACTTATCACATGAAAATTTAGTGATACTATTTTTAAGGTTATATAAGGTAAATATTGATATGATAATTGATAAATAATAATAAATAAAATTTATATAATTTCATTTTGTTAAAATTTTATTTTCCAATTTCCATTTTCCAGGCACAGGTGGCGCAACAATCAAAATACAAACTGACAAATATCTAAATATAACTGACTATCATGTTATTATTATTATTATTTAATAAAATAGTTTTGCACATAACCTTAAAAAGCCTCATAAAGTCTTTCTCTCTTTACGTTCTCTCTTCCCCAAAAAAGCACACGGCCTCATATGGAACTGGTATAGGCATGTCCTATCCATTCTTATATTATCTATGATCAGGACCTCCGCCGATACTCTTTGGTTTTCGTACAACGATAATCCCGCCGGCCGATTCTATTAACTATTCTAAATTCACACAATTCAACATTTATATTTGTTTATCGTCGGGTATAATTTTTTTCACCGGGTATAATTTCATTGGTAAAAATTTAAAATTTTAATTAATCTTTTTACATTTTGGTTTTTTTTTCTTCTTTGAAAACCATATTTTCAAAAACTGTTAATCTAATAAAGTTACCTACTTAATATGTTGATATTGTGTTTTTTTTTTGTTAAGAAATATATTTTTAGTTTTATTTTTTGGTATCTTCCCTAATCTAACTACTCATATCATATTTTTACCTTTCTTATATCAAACCTACTTATTGTACAAAAAGCATGTATAGATAGTAGATTTCTTCAAATAAATAAAAAAAAAAAAAAGTTTTATTTATTTCAACAGAATAATGTTCCTCGCTACAGTCGCTCAACATGCGTGTTAGTTAAGTGTTAACCACCAGTGTTTTTATTAAATTACAAATCTTAATAAAATATATTGAGGTTTTATTCACGTGAACGTATAGTAATTAACCGATGTAGTGTCCCTTATGGAAATTAATGTAGGTATTACTCCTATATACTATAATAATAATACCATTTTTTTATTGGTCAAGAAATTACAATTTTCAGTTACTTTATATATTATATATATTATAGCATAGTTAAATGGCCCACGTCACCACTGAGGATAACTTTGCTATACCAGAGTTCTATTAAAAAATATGTATAAACAATTATACATTTTAATAATACCAATCCTAATGGTTCCCACACACTGCAGCGGTAGCGGTTACGGCAAAATGAGTCCTGGACACAATTTTACCACCACCGCGGTGCACCGCCAAGACAAAATAATTTTACCTCCACCGTTTCAGTGTGTGTAGGGCACTATCAAGCCCGGATTAAGGGGGGTCCAGGGGGGCATGGCACCAGGGCCTCAGTACTTAGAATTTAGTTAGGGGCCTCAGATTTGTACATTACTTTTTTCATTATAGGCTATATAACACTGCATAAATTAGGTACCTAAAAAAAAATCGATGATTATTACTAGCGAGGAAATAAGCTTGTAAATTACAATTTATAAATAAAATGATTTATTCTGTATTTATTGCTATGTACCTAATAACTATATATATATTTATTATAACAGGTAGGTACCTAATATTAGTTACATTATTATTTTTTTTTGTACATTGA